GCGCACTTATTATATAAACAGAAGTCCTTTGCAACATTGAAAAGATTTTTTAATTTATACATATTTTAGCAGCTGACTGTACAAGTTTTTCAACACAAAACTCACGTTAGTATAACAATTTCATCTCAAGGAATTAATATTAATAGTTTACATTGCCAAAAATAGATGAAGGTTTTATAGACATTTGATTAAATACAACGTGCAATTTTTGTGTTATAGTTAATCTCGTTACGTAATAGTAAAGGGAAAAACGGTTGGCTGTTGCTTACATCGATAAACAACAACTTAGCATTCAAGTCAGTCTACAAATGCTTTGTACTTAATATTTATTATGAACACGTATTTACATCAAAGAAAACATCTTGCTCGTGGAGCTTGGGGCGCTTTATGCTAAAATGTTACCGTGGATTTCCACTGGCAAGTCTCGTACAAAAAACAATGTTATCACACTAATTCGTAGTTATCTAAAAATCAAAACTTTCTTGTTTCAACTAAGTAGGATTTTCTCACTTTTTAAATTAATCATTTTGTACTGAAACAAATTCAATCGGTTTTTATATATGAATAAGCGGTCGCCCGCGATTTTCTCGCCGCAGACTTAAAAAAATAGCCTATAATGTGCCCGTGTATTCCCGTCAAACTCCCGCCAAAATCGGTTCAGCTGTTCCGAAGATTACCCGGAACAAACGCGGCCTAGCGGACAGACATACAGACAGACAAACAATTAAAAAAATGGATTTTCGTATTCTACGCAAATACATAACGCATATAAAATAGTATTTAGTAATATCATTGAAGTGTTGTCTTTGCCAATTTTTTTTTCAAAATAAAAGTTATTATACATATAAATTTGCAGAGGATATATGTATTCCTGGTATATTCTATCAAGACGGAACTAAGAAATAAAAGACTTTCTTTGTCGAATACGAAATAAATATCAAGGCAAGAAAATTAACCCTAAAGTAAGAACTGATTAAAGATCTCGGGGTTCCTTTTCCTTTTTTCAAGCACAACCACTTCCCTCCCTCAAAGGCCACGGCTACAGTTAAATGTAGAGATTATCTCGGAATTGCTTACTGGCGCCACTGTGCGGCGTGCGGCGTGCGGCGGAACAACACTCCCGCCGCTGAATATGTAATTTTCACATTTAAATCTAAAGCTTAGGACGGAATCTGTTATATATACATCATAGTATATAAAGGGATAGTTAGGGCCGGTGGATTTGACGGAGCGGGAGACCCATAGGAAGGAGAAACATCCTTTTTTGTGCGTCCCGTATAGGGGAAACTTGAAATCGTTAAGTAGGTGGCGTTGGCGTCACTAGTGAGCTGTTTATATGTTGTTATAAAAATTTATAAACTATCTTACACAAGTCATTTATTTTTAAATTTTCTAAATGAAAATTGGCGAAAGTCGTTCGTATGACTACATTGTATAGACTACTTTATACTTTGCGTATAAAATAAAGTGTTTTTGTATGTATTTGGTATATTTAGTCAAACAAGGATATCTGAACCGGTGAGAGGCCCCGTTATTACGGTTGGTTCTGTCATAATATATATAAAAACTTCTTAGACATAGCAAATGACATGAGAAGAAAATGGTTTGACAGCAACTGTTTATATATCGTGTCATATTTTGACGTTGACAAAGGGGCGCTGGTGAGCTGTCATAATTTAGTTCGACTTATACAAGGTTTAGATATCCTTTTCTATACTTCCCCTCTTGATCATGCTGACATCTATAGTAAGGAAAACGCAGTTTTACTCCCCTGTATCTGTTTTTTGCAAAGAGAATCGAGAGAAGTCTAAAAATATATTTTGTTTAGGTGTTTCGACAAAAAATCTGGGGGTTTCCCACTAGGCCGATCGGTCTACTCAATCAATAGGCCCAATGGGAATTATTATCTCATTTGGCTTGATACTTGACTGTCACGTATTTAGATAAAGCCGCGAGATAAAGTTATTAATGTTGGGAGACCCTCATAAAACAGTGTACCATCATTTTCAATTTATTAAAATCAATAAACATTGGACACATGAGCACTTGTATTAATAGTATGTATACTCAGATATCCATGATATACAAAGTTCAAGTATAAGGAAAATATTTAATTCTATTTGTAAAGTTATACAATTAGCCATTTTATCTTCATCAATAAATAATACTTGGAATTATCTTGAAACACGGATATAGCAAAATGTACATAACAAACTTAAGTTCTTTAGTAATTATATTAAAATGATGTAACTTGCTCAACGACAAAGCTTATCAAATATTTTTATTTTCAATTCACAGAAAGCCTACATAAAATTCCATACATTTTTACATAAATCTTCCGTGATGTTTACTAAGAATATTTAGGAAAAGACCACGATCAAAAATGCCGATCTAAAAATTGATAATTTTTATTGAATAAGAATTTCTACTAAAGTGTTCCTTTTCTCATATACTGTCAGAGAAACTATCTCGTTGATAAGTGAAAAACTACGCTCGAAACATTCTTTGTGTATTCTTAAGAACTCTGGATAAATAGATTAAGAATCTTTGTGAACACGACCAAACACCTACCTTTGAAACTTCATATTTCAATATAAGTAATCGCTAATGGTTCTGGACCTAACATTGACAAAATCTTACCAAGTAGAAGACACTAGGTTACGAAAAAAAAATTAAACTTAGAAACGTTACACTTTATTAAGACTGAACATAACACTGGTACCAAAACACGATTGACGTCACTAGAATTTATACTTTGATGATGTTCTCTACGGCACTGGTCGCTAACACGTTGGTACTGAGGGGCCTACACTTGCAGCAACACCAATTGTTCGTGCTGGGCACCAGCGTCTCACTGCTGATGCACTCCAGGTGGAACTGTGAGGCGCAAAGGCTACACTTGATAGACGCGCAGCCATCCATGGTACGGTTGCAGTGAGCGCATTCCATTTTTACAGAATATCTGAAACTAAAAACAAACCAAACTTAGTAAAATTCTATAAAATAGTGCTCACCAGTTCTGGCGTGTAGGAAGCCCGAAGAACTAGCGCATACAAATCTGGAGCGATTAGATGAATCGGATTCGAACGGCGGTGGTCAAGACCCTCAAATATGAGGATGAGGACTTTGAGACAGGAATCAATTGTCTTCCAGATTATTCTCGAGACAAATCTTTCACACATTTAAAACACATTTACTTAATCATCGTAAAACATTTCAATTACATTATTCAATTGCAATTTGTAGTAAATAGTAAAAGTTAAATAACCCTTACATGACTTAAAGAAAAAGGAATGATGTTTTACTTTTGAAAAAATTTTCAATTTTTATATATTTTACTGCTAATGTTTTTACTGTGACGGATAATTAGCGACTGAGGAAATATGGAAAATGAACAAACGCATTTGAATTTTTTTATTATTCTTTTTCTTGTTCTTTTCTATTTTAAAATTTTTATACCACCAGGTTCGTAACGCAGTTTACCTATTTGATGCCATGCATGGAGTTTGAACTTAAATAAATGTGACCTTTTTAGTAACAGATATTTTCTGTTCCAGAAATATTTATTTCTAAAAATCACCTTGTTTTATTATAACGTTTTCGACATTTAACACGCATGGAGAATTTCAGAATTTCTGTAAATCCAAGATGAATTCGTGAACACATGAATGTTTTAACCGAGCGGAAAGACTTGTTGGGTCCTGAATAAATCAAAAATTATAATCTCCAGCAATTCCTCGAAGTAACGGTCCTTACCGAGATATGTTACCTTTTCTCTTATATTTGATTCAGAACAACAGTCTTTGTCTTTGACACTTATAAATATTTTTGTCACAAGAACGTCATCAATTTAAGTGGTGAACAGCTGTTTATATATAAAAATTATATTTAACTTAGTCATTAATAATATACTTAACAAAAATCGAATGTTGTAAATATCATTAATAATGTAAACGCCTAAAAATACAAATGCATACCGACTGCGAAATACCATGGTTGGAGCAAATAATTACCAGGGCTTTTGTATCGGCCCCTTATAAATTATGTTATATACATAAAAGAGTTAATTACAATTGTAAGTAATGCTAAGATATTATAAGTAAATAGAAGTCATATATAACACGAATGAATGACCAGTATTATATCCATAATACGTGTCTAGAACAATTAATATTCTTTACCCAGGATTGGCTGTATATGTTGTTTTTTTTTAATATCATGTCCATTAAACTTTTAGCAAAACATAAAATGGGTACAAAAAAGCATTTCAAAATTTAGTCTATTTTTGCATTTCGAAATAATGTTCAGTGATAAAGTTTATAGAATTCAATCATTCTTATCAAACTGTGTTTGACAGGTTAAATTAATTTCTTTCGCATTTTATTGATTGTTATATCCCAAAAATAGGTTCTATTTTATCAAAAAAATATGTTTACATATAAATCTCCAAATCAAAAACGAACTATAAAGTATGATAACGAGGACTCGTTTCATAAAATTGCCGTTTCGAATACGAACATTTGTAAAAGTAAAGGGTCCAATATAAATTAAATTTACTCTTTCTCATCTGCATAATTTCTGTAGACCCTAAACTTGTTCACAGAACGTTATCGCAAAAGTAATGGGGAGTTACTTTTTTATATTTTATATCCTTTTCTGTCCAATAACTTTTCCAAACTAGTTTAACCATATGATAGGTACTTTTACGAGTAGATCAAGTATCAAAATACTCCAATGTCATCAGTCGACAACTTTTTATTAGTAAAAATTACTACTGAGCGGATAAACAAAAAATCTAAATGAACATTTACTATTATGATTGTATATTCATAAAATAAAACCAAGGCGTTTTACAAAATGAACTGTGCTGAAGGATTTGTAAAGGATTACGACTCATAGAGGCTGGTGTGTAAATTAGAACAGTGTATTTTAATTAACATTACATTAAAACAATGTATTTTTGTAATCTAAATGGTAATTGAGTTGTATATTTGTCGTAGACGCAGCAGCGAGGGTCCGGCGGCGGGCGCGCGTGTTCTGCGTGCTACGCCCGACTGGTCGGACACGGCCGTCAGCGGAGAGCACCTCTGGTCGCCCACATCCGTATCCGGCGACTGCTGCTACGTCGGTGATGCCGATTGTCAGGTACACCCTACTCATATTACTGATTTTGTTTAAAGAGATTTGAAGCGGTATCTGATCAATGGAACACACTATTTAAAAAAGTAGACGACGTTAAATTTATAATTTTCTGCCATGAATTGCTTATTAAACAATTTATGCGGCAAATTCAAGATAAAACGAATTCCTCGGTGAACCAGCGTATTCTATTTGGGGCGGAGAAAATTACAATTTCCACAACAGCAATTACCAAGTTCGAGTCTATTATATAGCTGTTGGTAGACATGTCGTTAGTTGAATGTAAGATTAATGAGGGAGCCCACGGCCATTGCCGCAGCGATGACCTGTCACTGTCGATGCGACAAAAGGCTGGCTTTGAGTTTATAGCGACAATTATTAACTAATCGCCGGCGGTTTACGTTTTCCGACATTTTAACCACCCTCGTCATTTAGAAATAGGAAAACGATTTGTATTGAAATTATGTTTTTTTGTAGCCAAGATACTTACCTGAGGAAGAATCCTCAGGTACATAGAAATGTGAAAATTTAGTATATTAAACTCTTTTCTTTTTACGTAAAATGTTATAATAAATGTGGAAAACGGTAAAATAAATAGGTTTTAATAAAATAGATGTTAAAGCCGAGGTGGCTTTGCTATTAAATAATTTATAACATGTGACAAAATAAGTTCACATCTCTTCATAAAACTTAATTTACTTTAGACGTTTCAGCCACATCATATTACCTTTATATTACATGCTATAAAAAACATGTTTTAAAATTAAATTATACAGTAGATTTACCTTTGTGAAGATTCTTGTCGCTTATTATTACTTAAATAAACATACGGGAAAATATAAATTATATAAATGTAGATCACTTACCTTCTATTTGTTCTTGTAGAATCCCTATCCCTTATTACGTATAAGAGTAACAAAACAAGTAACAGTAAGAGAAAAACCCCGGGTTAGATTTTCAGACTATACGTTCAAGTGCCAATTTTTTTAAGTATACATTTGCTTAATTTTATCTGATTCCATTTCAGTCAAAATATAAGTTACAAATTTCTTTAACCAACTTTTATTTCAATAGAAACATGGATCTCGCATGAAATGTTCGGCGTGCAAGATTGTCGCTCATACAGCATGCATCGACATCCTTATGGACCGGATGCAGTTCACCTGCAAGCCGACCTTCAGGGACGTAGGCGTGCGTCAGTACCGCGAACAGACCCTCACTCACCACCATTGGGTGCACCGGAGATCTGAAAAGGGCAAGTGCAAAGCTTGCGGCAAGGTAAGTGCAACTGACGTTTGACTTTTGTATTAGGTAACGCACCTTGCAGTTTTCAATAGCAACTAAATATATGCCATGCTAACATTATGCTAACTCGTCATTAATTTGGCACTGTGTTTTAATTGTAACTAAATAATTTAACTCATGTATAACATTGCTGTTAGATGTCTTTAACGAAGATTCAACGTTGCCAAATCACAACATGCTAATTCCTTAGTTGCAGAAAACGACGTTAACATTAAATCGGGCAATTAGATTAAATATTCAGTAGTTAATACTAAAAGCAAATAAGTACTGCAATTCTGTTAAATTTATTTTTATTACATCAAAAGAAAATCATTACAAACCACTCTTACTTAGTAAATGACAAGGGCTATCAACTATTGATAAAATTTTAAGTTTCAAGACAACTACTGTGTCCATATCAAGTTGATGAAGTACAAATGTCCATAATCACTTGAAATTTCATCATGACCTACCATGTTTTTATATCCTCGATCATTAAAATGAATGGACATACATGAATCTGACCTTTGACAAAATTGGCAAAGTGAAATTATTTATTAAATTTAACCAAAATGTCGAGGTTCATTACTGTCTTCCTTAAACTTGATTTGGTCAAGCCTTGGTCTTCAATTACATATTTTGGTAAAATACTGGTCAGCAAAATTAACTAACGAAAAAAAAACGAATCTCTTTGTCATAGTAAACCTGTTAAGTGGTAAATTCGTGAAAACATGACAAATACAAAGACCGTTCTTTTTGCATGTAATTAAAGTATCATTGTTAAAAAAATCATATTATGTTAAATGCTTTGTTAAGAACGATTATCGTAAGGAATTATAAACTAGTTTGCTTATAGAAATATTGCTTGTATACAACAATACAAGAACAGTATCTTAGCAACATTATGATCTGGTTAATCAGGTTTAATACAAGCATTTAAAAGTCAAGGCTATTTAATGGTTTTTCCTCGTTTGAGGACCTGTTTACTATATAGAAGTGAAAACACTTGATATAATGCGATATAATAAAACCAGACTCATGTTGATTGGTACTGAGTTACATGCTCATAAAATTTGTTTGTCGTTTCGATTATGAATGAGCGAATAGAAACATTAAGTCGCGTCACCCTGCTAGTACCGCCCTCCCTTTTATCGTTCACCCCCACAAGACCTTTGGGCGCCCACGTTTTCTTTATTTTGAAATCATTTGCATTTACGTCGCATGCGACACGGCACGTGCTGCCAAAGCTCTACAACGCAAAATTAAAGTTTCATTTTTAATGACGTGTTAGCATATTGCACGCATGGCGCATGCATATTTAAACACGGCTAGGCTACATTTGTGGAGTACATTTTTTTCTATATTTTTTTTTGTGTAATGTTTGAGCGTGTTTCCATGGCTTCATGTACGTGCCAGTATGCTTTATTATTTAGTACTTATAGTAACGATACGAGCTAGTAAATGTTTAGTTTTCTAAGTACGTTATATTATAGAATGATGGCTTATGGAATAGAATTGAAATTATAATTCTACTTTGAATAAAGGCAATATACATAATATTTTATTCTGAAACAAGAATCGTAAACAACTCACAATTTAGAAGGGTTACAATCAGAATGACAGAGTAGAGTATTGTTATTTGCATAAGTAATTTACCATCATATCACAAAGACATTTCGCACACACTAATGCTGTTAAAATAATGTTTATTTTTATTTGTTTTATACTTAACCTTAGTTAAAATTAATTAATAAGTATACTGTTAATTATGTTTTGAAAATAACTGTCTTTTAAGTTTACATGTATGGAGTGTTATAATTTTTATTTCGTATTCGGATGTTTATAATTTTGGTTTATGCATTTAGTTATGTTTGTTTTTATTAATTTTGCATGTTTGTTGCATGGTTGTTCTGTTGTCCCAGTCTTACCGGCGCAGTTGCTGTGGGTGGTGCATAACAAAACAATCTTCTGTAGACAAGGCTATGGAAGTAGCCAATGATAACACTGATCGTGTGGGTATAATCAATGTGTTGCCGCCTACCGCAAACACATTGGTGCTTTGCTTGTTGTTTGCATTTTATTGTTTTTAATAGTGCTATTTGACATCAATGAAATAATCAAGATTAATACAAGTTATAGTGTAATCTCCTTATTAAATGCATCATTTGATTTCAGTCGTTACAAGCAAAGTTATCATTTAGTTCGAAAGAAATAGTAGCACTAAGTTGCTCCTGGTGTAAAGACGCGTACCACAATAAAGAAAGCTGTTTTAACCTTCAAAGAATAGGAGAAGAATGCTCATTAGGTAAAGAAAGAATTGCAATATACTAAACTTTTTTAAATCATTACATATCTTTAACTAATTACATTATTTAAGGCTCTCAGTCCAATATAATAGTCCCACCTTCATGGATTGTGAAGTTACCAAGAAAGGGAAGCTTCAAATCGTCTTTGAGAAAATCGCCTAAAAAGAAAAGCGCATCGAAGAAGAAAGGCAAAGACTCAAAGAATGAACACAAGCCATTTGTTATCAAGCCGATACCGACCACTAATGTGAAGCCGGTCTTAGTTTTTATCAATCCGAAAAGTGGAGGCAATCAGGGTGTTAAATTGTTGCAAAAGTTCCAATGGCTGTTGAATCCACGTCAAGTTTTCGATCTGACCCAAGGTGGACCCGGACCAGGGTAAATATTATTTTATTATTAAAAAATGCTTTCAAAACGTTACAGTATAATATTTTCAGTTTCAGAGATAGTTCCTTAACAGTATTAAACTGAGTCTATGAAGACGAAAAAATTACATTTAAAAATAACTAGAGATTATGGATTGGAATGAATTTAGTATAAAACTTCAACTGTAGCTAATTAACAAAAACACGATGAGAAATTGAACGCTAACGTCCTCTATCCTTTCGTTTCGTTGCTGAGGAATGCAATAGCAAAGAGCGATTTAAATCTTGAGAGCTCGCTGCGCCAATCCATGGCTTAATAAAACGATCTGAGATTGTTCAGTTAATGAGAATTGGTAGTCGATCCGATTCATCTATCGAGTGTCCCTGAAGCTCTCTTCATCGATCAATTAGAATTATTACGAGTGAACTGTATACTCGCCAACTATTAATCTTAAAGTTTCACTGCGGCTGTTTAACCTCACCAAATAATAAATTGATTTTATGAGTTATTGTTCTACCCACGCCTTGTCTGTAACAAGTAAATTGAAATTGACGATATACCTATATCTCACTGATATATTGCTTCTTCATATAGTAAATTTGTTAAGTGACTTGTGTGAGAAAGTATAAATGCTTTTTAAATTGACTATGACTTTTATAAACTCATTTTGTATTAGTTTCTAATGATCCAATGATACAAATTTTAAATTCAATTATACTGTAATTTTTGTTTGTTACCAGTCTGGAGATGTTCCGCAAAGTTCCGAACCTACGCGTGCTGGCATGTGGCGGAGACGGCACGGTGGGCTGGGTGTTGAGCGTGCTTGATCGCATCGGCTCGCGGCCTGCCGTCGGCGTACTTCCCCTCGGCACCGGCAATGACCTCGCACGGGCATTGGGATGGGGTGGGGTAATGTCTCGATCATTTATTATGTTGTAATCAAATCTTCCTATGGATGAAAACATACAAATTTTATTTACTAATGAAATCAGATTAATGCAAACTCATTTTGTGGTGAGAGACGTTAGTTACCAGCGTTGCACTTTAATTTTCGTAATTATGAGTTTCGAATTCGGTAATGGTGTTAATGAAAAATAAAGTAGTTTATAATTGAAAAATATATTTTTTTTATTTTTATTAGGGTTATGAAGATGAACCGATTTCAAAAATACTGGCGCATATCGGCGAGAGTGATACTGTTCTGCTAGACCGATGGCAGCTCACTGTGGAGCCGAACGCAGCGGCATCTGGCGAAGACACGAGTAACGCAAAACCTGACTTACCTCTTAACGTTGTCAACAACTACTTCTCTTTCGGCGTTGATGCTCATATCGCCTTAGAATTCCATGAAGCTAGAGGTGTGTTTAAAAAATAACCATTATTTTCTAACAGGCGCTTTAATATTTTCCGATTTTGTAGTCGGTAGTTTTGTAATTGATAGTAATTTATTAAAATTACTTTTAGTATACGGTTTTTAATATTTTTGTTTTGTTTTAGAGGCTCACCCGGAGAAATTTAACTCACGTATCAGGAACAAGCTGTTTTACGGCACGGCAGGCGGTAAAGACCTCATGCAGCGCAAATGGAAGGGTCTCGCGGAGTTTGTCACTATGGAGTGCGATGGAAAGGACCTCACGCACGTGCTCCGCGAACATAAAGTGCACGCAATTGTGTTCTTAAACATTCCAAGGTATTAATTGAAATTAAATTACATGCTATGTTAAAATTCTCCTTTCTTTTGATTTATTATGTCTTTATATATCATGTTATGTTAGACACTTTCAGTATTATTGTATTTTAGTTACGGCGGTGGAACACATCCTTGGAACAAATCGGGAGGGGCACATGAACCGTCCACTGAGGACGGGTTAATAGAAGTTGTAGGTTTAACCACCTATCAATTGGTACGTATAAATAATTATCCTTTCAAATTGTTTATTCACTAAGAGAACGTACACCATAATCCTATGAAGTTATAACAAGCATTTCTGTTTGGCAAGTCTAGTGTGGTCTAATTAAATTGTTACTAGTATCGACTATTTTTAAATTATCCGGGTTTATTTTGAATATGTTTCCTTACTATATAGGATCATATTCTTTATCTTCTAGATAATTTTTTTTAATTTATTTAAATAAAATATTAATTTACAGCCTCTACTACAAGCTGGAGGTCACGGGACTTGTATAACACAATGCAAAACAGCAAAAATTGTGACAACTAAAGTTATACCAATGCAAGTGGACGGGGAGGCATGTCGGTTGGCGCCCTCGGTCATTACACTTTCGATACTGAACCAAGCGATTATGCTCGCTAAGAAAAAGCCCGGCAGAGTTCTAGCTCCGTGAGTAAACAATTATAATTAACATTTTAATACTAACTTCGCATGCGACAGAATTAGCATGTTACCGTAACACTCTCGAGATTCTTGTATTGAAACCAATGTCTCTGTTTTTTTTTTATAAGATAATGATTGACAATTTGTTTCATACCAGTATTTCGACAGTAGACCCATAGTTAGTTGATTAATGTTTAGATCAAAGTTCAAAGTTACACGTTAAATATTTAGATATAAATGCTTTGAAAATGACACCGTGATAGATGAGTGTTTTGAACGTGAACAAATATGACGGCGATACATAAATATATTCTAGAAAATTGACTGAGTATCGCAAAACAAGTCCCTCGTCGACCGTTTGTCACTTGATAACGGACACACTAAAGGGCAATATTTATAATACTTCAATATTTAACATAGAAGAATACAGAAATAAATTTGAATTGTTGAAATGATAAATCAATGTTATCTTTTATTACTGTCTCTTATATTACAGTTTATATTTTTCTTGGATAAAATAACTTATAAAACAATTTATTAAAATTAAAAGGCGTAAAAAGACTTCATTTAAACATTCTTAATATGATTCTAGTATATTACTGCTGGTAAAAAAAATATCTACTGATTCATGATTGGAATTTCTAAAATTAATCTATATATTGAGTCTTTAGTGAAATATTTTAATAAATTCTTAATTATAGCATTGAATAATAAATTTAATAAAAGTAAGAATAAAATAATGAATTTAAAATATTCTCAGTCTTTTTATGAAATATACAATTATTATATTACTTTAAATTAAAAACGTCTTTAAAATGATAACAAATTTTTACAGACAAACGACGTTAGATAAATTATCGCTCACTGTGAATCTCATTACAATGGCCGATTACGAGAGGCACCACTACGATAAAGAACTCCTTGCAAACACAGGTACTAACAACAACTTTGCAAATCTCCTTTTGCTTACAAATATATTAAACAAAAGACGTCAGTAAAAAAAAATAATCCTATTTAGTATTAGAAAAATAACTATTTTCAGTGATTTAGGCTTTGTTTGTATGAAATGTGACTTTTTTTATACGTTTCGAACAACGCAAGGAAACTTTCTAGAAATGTATATTTAGAAATTATTTTAGACGTAGTATTTTTTTATATTTCATTGTACGGATTGAACTACATTTTTAATGTTTTATTTCTCATCTTTACAGCGGATCGTATTGGCACTTTAGAAGTAAATCCATCGGCTGACTTGGAGCAGATGCGTTCTCTGATACAAAACATGATCAAAGAATCTCAAGCGTACTCGAGCATTGTCGATTGGTGGTTTGTTGACTGTGAGTTTTCTCACTTTTACCTCGGAAAAGTCGGTCGTTACCCTATAAGTCGGTCGTGTACTTAAATATATATAAATCTTACATCAAATAACTTTAAATCATTTTTTTTAATTCGAAGTTTAATAATAAGTAAATAATTTTTTTGTAATTTTAAAAAGATAATAAAGACAGTTGAAGGAAAGAAAAATCTTTTATTTTCTATTGCAGCGGTGACAGCTGAACGCTTCTTTCGGATAGATAAGGCTCAAGAGAATCTCCATTACGCGACTGACATCGGCCATGAAAATATCTACATACTGGACGCGGCACCTCAGACTCCGGACACGGAGAGCACGGCGCATCCGGACACCACCGCCACGCCGTCCTTCGACCGCACCGGACCATCCGTATCACTGGACACCACTACCGGACTCTCGGTCTCGCTGGACATATCACAGAGCGTTGACACCCCTAGTGCTGGCGTATCCTTGGATGTTCCGGAATCACATGCGAGGTATTAAAGGAGATGTTTATTTACTAATACTCATAGTTCCGAGTGTTTCTATTTAACCTTTTTTACACATTCTTGGTGTAGTGAATCTGGTTTGGGGAGTCCTGCAAGAACATCGGACGAACAGCAGAGCCCGCAGACGCCGCCCTCTGCCGCAGCCACTGCGCCCTCTTCTCCTGCACTCAACGCGCCCAAGATATCGCTCTCCACTTCACCCAAAGCTCCCATCTCACGAGCACTCACTCCCAAACTATCCACCCAGGATACCAACTCTCCGCCGCTTTGTACAAGTCCACCGGCCAAAGAAACCGAGGCAACTCGTGACTCAATAGCCCGCTTCAAGACGTAAGTTTGAATTGACTTTTATATTTTACAAATGGCAATTCCATTTTTGACAGCTTTCACTCAGTAATGATGGGTATCATAACAAATCTGATTTGTTTTTGTAATTCGATATTTTCTACTAAGTTTGTTGAAGTTCTTCGATCAATTTATTATTGTGAGAAAGTAAAATTTATTGGGACTTAAATCAAAAAATCCTGTTTACAAATGAACATTATTTTCAGTATCTTACAAGGATTTGATCTCATCAATGACAGTGTGTAAGTTAAGGATATAAACAATGTCATATTATCAAATGCTACTTTTCTTATATAGGAAATTAGTATTTAAATTAAACAAATTAACTCGAATTGACCTTAGTGTATATTTAATAATTTTATTATTTATTATATAATAGTATTATTTATTAATTTATTTATATAATTCTGTAACTATTAGATAAACTAATTGTGACTTATTAGTTCTTATAGATAAAGCATTGTAGTACTCTTAAAGGCACCATTGTATCTGAAAGAAATTAAATTTAGTTTAGCGGTAGCAACAAATATTTTTTAAATAACATTGCCCTTATATGGAATTGTGGATAACAAATTGTCGTTTTTTTTAATGTCAATAGAGATGCAATATAAATCACAAAATTTTAGAGATTGCACGCACGTATTGACGAAAGAAATAGATAACAAATAATGTTGTGTTGAGTGTTTATAATGTGCATATATAATTTGAATTTATTGCGCCAATAGCCAAATGGTTAAGGGTGACGGTCCTCGGTCAAATGGTCGGGGTTCCAATCCCGCCATTTGACTATTGTCGTAACCATGTCCTAGCACAAGCATAAAGCTTAGTTGGAATGGTACAAGAAATATTAGTGAATTAACAAAAATCTGCTAATATTTATAAACAAAAAAAAAATAACTATCTTCACTATTTATTTGTCTAGAAATGATACTAGAGTAGTATTAGATATTTCTGATGCTATGACTGTAGTTCACATGTTTGGACTATCTGCACTCTATCTTCTTCCGTCTTCTATTGCATGCAGCATACACGAAAAACTGTTCGGACTTGATCAAGAAGTATTTGGCTATAGGTGAGACGATTCTCAATTACATGGTAGTACTACTTTTGTTTTTTTAAATTATCGTAATATTAGTTTCCTCAGGAATTTAGGGCAATTGGAATGTTTTATTATGAATATTATTATATGAACAATACTAATAGCTACGAAGTATTCCAAAGGACTTTTTTTTATTCATTTAAAGTATGTTTATTATATCTGCGATATTATGGTCTGATTATAACTTTATAATATGTATAATTTTTAATTATGTCGCTAGTTTTGAGTTATCAGTTTTTTAGATTCTATTTACATTATTTCTTGTTTATTGTTCCAGAAATTTATTGGAAAAGACATCTGATTCACTTCTTAAAGCTGCTAAAGTAGGAGATTTGAGGATGGTAAGACTAAGCTATGCTATATTCAGTTTTCATTGTTTTATCTGCTATTTTATCATAGTCTGTTCGTAGCGATGTTTATAATCTATTAAAAAAATTGTACTGAAAAGAGTAATGTGTAATACGTAGACCCAAAAGATAAGATTATATACCTGCGTATGCAAATAGAGGCCTCGCCACTACATGTATTTGAAAAATATGCTTAATAAGGAAAGTGCCATGGGTACATGAAGCTTAACTTTGTTCATTATTCAATAGGTAAAAGACCTTCATGCTGCCGGGTACTCGCTCCTTTCAATCGACGCTACAGGTCAGACCGCACTCCATATAGCGGCGAGATACGGTAACAAGGAGGTTGTAAAGTATCTCATAGCGTGCGCGCCCACTGCTATACTGAACATGCGCGACAACGAACGTGGACAGACAGCCTTACACAAAGCGGCGGCTCACAAGCGACGGGCAATCTGCTGCATGTTGGTAGCAGGGGGGGCGTCTTTAACCCGCCAGGATCACGCTGGCCTCACACCGCGACATCTTGCTCTGCGCGCAGAAGACCATGATTTAGCTGCTTACTTAGAAAGTCAGTATAACCAAAACACAGTTTTTTTATATTTTTGTATTTGTACTGAACACAAAATCCCATATAGATTACATAAATGTTTACCACTAACTAAAAATCAAATATTTGTAATTTCGTTTTGGTAAAATTTTGTAAAATAATATTCTTTTCAGGCCAAGAACATTTTCAACTAGTTTCTGAAGACTTGGAAACAGCAGTATGAAAATTAAATATATCGTTTATTAAAGATCTGAAATGCAGTTGCTATGAGTAATGACCACGAGAAGTACAAGGATAGACATAATATCTTAAAGACTCTTAAAATATTGAATATTATACTCAAACCATATGATATTCAAAATTTGTACTTTTAATATAATTATAATTTCGACATTTTGACGTAAAATTATAATCTTTCTTTAAACTTTTTAAAATTAAGATTATTGCAATTATGATATTTCATTATAAAAATTTAAATAATAGTATAAATTAATTATATTTATAATCTCAATTGAAAAGAAAACTTTGACATATGTCACGGAAATACAATTTTCTAATGGTCTTTAAATTAGTCGAAAACAAAATAGTGATTTATATTTCCTTAATTTAAAGAATACGTGACATTTAAAAAAAATCTTATTAAAATATTTAAATAATTTTAAGTTAACTATAAGTATGAGCGATAGTGTTATTTATAACCGACTTAAAAATATAACATAATATGTAGAGGATTTTAAGTACATATTTTACGATTTTAAATTCAAATGACTGTCCTGTCACCAATAATCGAAGAATATTAATATGCCTTAGGCGAAAATGATTTTGTTCTTCATTTAGTGACGAACTAATGATTAAATCGCTTGATTTGCGTATTCTAGACATAAGACAGTGTGATAACATCCATAATAATTATTTATTCTTTAATATAAAAATTCACGACGAAGTTGCGTCTTATCGTGAGATTACACTGCCCGTAATGTTTACATAGAAATATGTTGCGAGCTCATTTACTTCTGTAAATTAGAGCTTCTCGCTCTTCATACATGTTTTTGTAAATGTTTCGGATAGTGGAAACTTACGTTTGACATCAGTAAAGGTTGTGTAGTGCGTGCGTGAGAATCGAAAGCAATTTGAAAGCACTCGTTATTGCTATTGTTTTAATTGTAGTTGCAAAAATTTGGTCTCGTTAATATTAATCTGCTTTAAAATAAAGCAACTTATATGCTTAATTTAATAGGTTAAGTGTTACATAATTATTATTATCAATATATTCAATTTCGAATTTGCCAACGATATCCTATCAAACTATTTATTTATATATTTTAATCAACATCTTTGGATAGTTTGATCTCAGGCTTGTAAGATCTATATTTTCTTGACATCATTCACTTTAAAATGTCGCATTCCTAAACTTTGCGAGCTTCTGTATTCCTTCAAAAGAGTATTTCAGTGCCTCATTGTCACAATTAATGTATTTATATTTTTTATCTCGTAAATTTTGATCAAATTGAACATTATATGTAATTTATTATAACGACTGTAACGCAATTACCTCTACTTATAGATGATGTACCTAATAGTTTTAGTATAAAACGAATTTACTCTTACTATTCGCTGATAAGCGACCAATGAAAGACAAAGCTGTGAGAAATTTGATCGTAATGTAAAAAGTTAGTTCATTATAATGTAAGTACGATTGATGTTCCCTCACTTCGTGTCCTTGAACTAGTGAACATGTTTCGAGTTTCCATTGCCACAATATCCAAACATAAATCATATTGTTGTCTCAGATTATTTAGAGAAAATTAGTGAAATAGCAATATGTAGATGTATGAATCATTACGGCATTGATAAACAATTCATGAAATAAATATATCCGTGTAGCAATTTCATCTTGAGATCTGATTTTGAAATTTGATTTGTCCTTTTATTGTAAATAAAAAATCTCCGTATCTTTAATATAGTTTTAGTGCCCAACGAAATCTAAAAATCATTACTTTGATCAGCAACGAATCTCACATCGCATCTCACTTTGATTAAAAAAATAATAGTATACATCGTTTTATATGTGAATCTATGGCACCACTTTGGTCATTAAAAAGTTTGGACAAAAAAAAAATTACACCTTGTTTATAATTATATTAAAAGTTTTATTTATAATTATTAAATCTATTGAAAAAATCAACCCTTAATCACAAATATTGTACAGAAATCTGTTACTAATATTAATATATACAACGTATTTAGGCCAATTTAAACTACAGTGGGACTAGACAAATAGGTTTCACTTCGAAGCGATTACAGAACGAACTTCAAAAATGCATAGAACTGACATTAACTTTCGATCAAATGATTTTCTCGCGCGAGGGGGGGGGGGGTTAGACAGTGCATTCGCTTCGAAGCGATTCCATAGCGAACTTCAAAAAATTTATGGAACTGACAATAACTTTCGATAAGTCATGTGACGCGCGTCATTTCCATACAATTTTGAACTTCGCAATGGAATCGCTTTGGAGGGAATGTACTTTTTCTAAACTCCCAGTTCGTTATGGAGTCGCATCAGGCAAGCACTTTGTCTAGCCCCGCAGAATCTTAAGCACTAGTGATACTTTCCTATTAGATGTTACTAGTCCTTGTACATAATGTATTGGAGGCCTTCATTCGAGTTATTGTATATCTCTTATGTATATATTAGCTCACTAGTATATTTCTCGACCAAATTCTACTTAAATAATGGCATAGCGTATATTATATCACTAGAAAATATATTTCTCACACTGATCTAGAATTCCTTACAACGCTAGTGAAAATAATTTGTAACGTTCTGATGTAGCATAAATTTTTTAAATTATGATGATTTTAATATTTTTTCATTCGTTAAATTGATTTCTAATAGTACAAGTAAGTATCAAGACGATTTTATCCAATTTAGTATTTGCTTCAATTTGAATCAATTGCAACAAAAGAATATAGTACAGTATGTTTTAAAATTCAACAACTAAAAGTCAAGGACAAAGAAATAAGCGTTCAAAACTTCATTTTTTTTATAATTTATTTTATTCCATTTTCAAATTATTAGTACTATCCTATCTGTGCATATTATAAGGGAAGTGCTACGATTCTAAATTATAACTTTGAAGTGTTTGAACACAACCTTCATAAATTCAACTGCTTATAACATAGGCTTAAAAATCTTATGATTATTTTCATTTTCATTGACAGTAAGTTTTAAATTTTTTCAGTTGGTTGTATCAATTTTAATTTAGTAATAAAAATGATATCGGAACATTCCATTTAATTTGTATAGTATGTTACGAATACATTTTTTTATTAAACAATTGTATATATAGTATGTTTAAAAATACCTGGGAAATGCTAATTCTGTTTTATTAAATTTGTTATACTCTAAATTGTTTATGGAATTGATATATTAAGTAATTACTTAATATAAACCAGGCAATAAAAGCATTCCAATTGTTTTTAAAACATATACATATTTTATGATTACATCATGGCATTGTTACTTTAAGATTATTTAAGAATAAGTTAAATTAACGAATCATTTGTAGTGATTATTTAAATTTTATCTGCCTGTTTTGACTATATTAACACTTGCATTGATACATATCGCCATCTCTTATATTCTCTTTGAAAAAACAAAGACGACAATACGTATCAATATAAGTATCACGTCATTCACGGTAAGCGCTCATTCACACGGGCGCTTTTTTAACGCCGCGTTAAAACTAAACGTTGCTTCTCAAACAATGAACGCTTTAAAAATGATACTTATTCTATTCATATAGAGCTCAAAATTCAATACTGTGCGTTTTAAAACCTCTGCCTGATGAATAAATACCTGAAAATGCGTTTGTTTTATGTCAAAGCTTTTTAACGCGTGATAAAAAGCGCCCGTATGTATTAGGGCTGAGATGACGATGTTTGATTAATGGGTGTTTTCATTTGAATTGTTGTTAGTTAATTAATATAATTGTTGCTTGAATGTTAAACTTTTTGTTCGGTTAAAATAATGTGGAATATTTAAATGAGTATTCTAGTTAACTAATTCTCATAGGTATTATACGATTTTAGATAAAATTCCATCATAATTTTCAGTAAATAATTGTGATTTATATAATGTTTCTATTTAAATTTATTCTGTTACACAATTGTTTCATATTGGAATATGGCAAATGAATCTGACCTTCATCTTATGAAAAAGGGAACTTATTCAGTCGTGAGCTCTTTGAATGTGACTTCGACTGCTTTTATTATAAGAATATTTAAAATTTGACCTAACATTTGTATTAACTATTGTAATTTGAATAGAATTTTGAAAGCACTTCTGTCATATAGGTAACATACTTATTTTTGCACTCGATAAAGTTACTATTTTAAATAAAGTTATTTGATGAAGTACACTGAAGAACAATAAATAAAACTAAAAACGCTAATCGACTTTTATTTCACATATATCCTTAACGGGGAGAACATCTGAAACTAAGTTGGTGGTGTATGCGCCCGCAGTCTATGATGTCAAAATTCAAAATAATTCTATCTAAAATAAATAAAACCTACTACTTAGCTATAAAAAACAAAAGACATCTACACTTCTTTGGCCGGCTATAAGACGTGATATTTTGTGCCTATTTGATTTTCGCCATATAGCATCTATTAACGCTGACGGTAGTTGTTTGTGGTGGTACTGAGTATTCGAACTAATAATGGAGATATAATTAACTAGTTAGTGTCATTAACAGACGCTTTTAATTCAGATCAAGTAATTTCCAAGCAAAAACACATATTAATTTACAGAGATCAGTGGTCAGCAGTGTCGATTAGCGAGACCTATCTTCAGCAAAGACAGTTTTTCTCCCCATTAGAACGTCTATTTTTCGACGTTTAATAATTACACAGAATAGGATAGGTTTATCGGATATCGTTAACCTACTTAAAATGACCACTCTAATAATAACAGTAAAAATAGGCGATTACATTAATTTAAAAAATAAAAGATTTATATGCAATTAATATACAGTCCACCACTGCGTTGAATATGGCCTAATCACCCTTAACTTAGGGTAGGCTCCGAGCCCCTCGGTGGGGAAGTATAGTGAGCTGATGATGATGCTGATACAGCCCACTAAATAAGATAAATGAGGGCCCTAGACAAATGAAGTAGTACTATAGTCAAGACAATATTTTTCCTTATAACACTCAACATTATGCAATAGTTGTATAAAAAGAGAATAACTTAAACAAATCGAAAAGACAAAAGAATGATAAAGAAAAGAATTAACAATTATTGAGTTTGATTTTAAGAGTCAAGAAAATTTTCATACGAATAAAATTTCAACATCAAATGTATACAATTGAACAATGAAGCTGGATGAG